CTCCTGCTTAACCACGTCCAATTTACCTTGATTCATGATCCTAACATTCCAAGTTCCTATGGAATATTCTTCTTTTCAGCATTGGATTTTACTTTCATCACTAAGCACATCAACACCTGAGGGTCATTTCTGCTTTGGCCTTGCCACTTCATTCTTTCTGGAACTATTAGTTGTTGTTCTCCACTCTTTCCCAGCAGCATATTGGAGACCTTCCAACCTGGGGGACTCATCTTTCAGTGTCATACCTTTTTGCCCTTTTATATAGTTCATGGGGTTCTCATGGTTAGTATACTGGACTGGTTTGCCATTCCCTCCTCCAATGGATCACATTTTGTCAGAGCTCCCTGCTATGACCCATCCGTCTTTACTTAGAGGCAAATCTGAGGTGATGATATACATTTGGAATTTATCATCATGTAGATGAGATTTAAAGCCAAAGAACAGATTAAATAATCTAATAGAAGAGTAAAGATAAACAGATGAAGAAAGAGATTGCATATCTGAGAATCTAAGAAGAAGAGAAAAGTGGGGAAATGTGGTGTCAAAAATCAGAAGAGGCTGCTTCAAAAAGGGGGAAATGGGCAATTCTGTTCAATGCTACTGAGTAGTCTGATATAATGAAAGCTGAAATGTGACCACTTAATTTAGCAATATGAAGGTCACTGGTGACATTGTTAAAAGCAATTTCAGGGCTATGTGTCAGGAGGCATATTAGATGTTCATATTTAATAGATGCTTAGATAAATTTTAATGGCTTCATGTTAGTCTTCTGTTGAGATAGCAGAGTATACTCAGGCACCCATACTGCTGAAAAGCCATTGTCCCTTAAGACAAACTTGTTTTAATGGCTCAGAGGCCCTTCTTCCAGATGTTCAAGCTGAATTTAGAAAAGGCACAGGAACCAGAGATCAAATTGCCAACATCCATTGGATCATCGAAGAAAGCAAGAGAGTCCCAGGAAAATTTCTCCTTTATTGACTATGCCAAAGTTTTGACTGTGTGGATCACAACAAACTGTGGAAAATTCTGAAAGAGATGGGCATACCAGACCACCTTACCTGCCTCCTGAGAAATCTGTATGCAGGTCAAGAGCAACAGTTAGAACCAGACATTGAGCAACAGACTGGTTCCAGATTGGGAAAGGACTATGTCAAGGCTGTATATTGTCACCCTGTTTATTTAACNAGGCTGTATATTGTCACTCAGCTTATTTAATTTATATGCTGAGTACATCATGCAAAATACCAGGCTGGATGAAGCACAAACTGGAATCAAGATTGCTGGGAGAAATATCAATAACCTCAGATATGCAGATGATACCACCCTTATGGCAGAAAGCAAAGAGAAACTGAAGAGCTCTTGATGAAAGTGAAAGAGGAGAGTGAAAAAGTTGGCTTAAAACTGAACATTCGAAAACCTAAGATCATGGCATCTGTCCCATCACTTCGTGGCAAACAATGGGGAAACAATGGAAACAGTGACAGACTTTATTTTCTTGGGCTTCAAAATCACTGCAGAAGGTGACTGCAGCCATGAAATTAAAAGATGATTGCTCTGTGGAAGAAAAGCTATGATCAACTTAGACAGGATATTAAAAAGCAGAAGCAGAGACTTGACTTTGGCAACAAAAGTCTGTCTAGTCCAAACTATGGTTTTTCCAGTAGTCATGTATGGATGTGAGAGTTGGACCGTAAAGAAAGCTGAGCACTGAAGAATTGATGGTTTTGAACTATGGTGTTGAAGAAGACACGAGAATCCCTTGGACTGCAAGTAGATGAAAGCAGTCAATCCTAAAGGAAACCAGTTCTGAATATTCATTGGAAGGACTGATGCTGAAATTGAAGCTCCAATACTTTTGCCACCTGATGCGAAAAACTGTCTCATTGGAAAAGACCCTGATGCTGGGAAAGATTGAAGGCGGGAGGAGAAGGGGATGACAGAGGAAGAGATGGTTGGATGGTATTACCAACTTGATGGACATGAGTTTGAGTAAACTCTGGGAGTTGGTGATGGACAGAATAGCCTGGTGTGCTGTGGTCAATGGGTCAGAAAGAGTCAGGCACAACTGAGTGACTGAACTGAACTGAGGCTCTAGTTGCTGGCTTACATGCAACTCAGTAAACCTTACCATGAGAATTACACTCTATCTTCTTCCTTCTGAGTGAGGGTTTGTGTTAAAATCCACAAGAGGGATTGGAGTGCTGAGGAATGTGCGCACTGGGCGAGTTTCTCTTTGAGAGTGTTTACATTTGCTCATTTGATACATTTTGCTTTGGTCTGAGAACTATTTTGCCTCCTGGCAGGACAAAGGCTGGGAGGGCTCTGATTCTCTCTGATTCAGATTTTTACTTCTTGACCTCTGCACTGCTTTTGTTGGGTGCGTGGGTTGCCCTGGGTTATTTGGTACATGTCCTTATTCCCATTTCTTTAAAATTAAAGACCAAGGATAGGCTTATTTTTGCATCTTCCCAGGGCCTAATATATTCTATGCTGAAATAGAGAAGAGTCCTAGAAAGAATGAAAGTAGATTTTGTAACCAAAGTGAGTTAGGTTGGGACACTATACATCAATTTTCTCATCTTTAAACAAGAATACTAATACCTACCTTGTGGAGTTATGGTAAAAATTTAAAGTAATGCATGAAAAGTGCTTAGAACAAAGTAAGTGATAGTGTTAGTCTCTCAACTGTGTCTGACTCTTTGTGACCCCATGGACCATAGTCTGTCAATGGGAATTCCAGGCAAGAAAACTGGAAGGGGTTGCTGTGGGGAGAGAGCAAATTAGCCCAGATGGCTGTTCAGGCTCACTCACCTCACCTTTTGTAAATACTACGTAAGAGCTGAGGTCGTTTGTAGCACTGCACATGGGCAACCTGAGGTACCGGCTTGGTCACAGGCTACTTTGTGCTGTAGGGATATATGAGCTCCACCCAAAGAGCAGCGGGCACTACTGCTGCATCATCGCAGCTGGTCCGTTGGGTCAGCCACGAGAAGAGAGGATATAGCATGTCTACTGCCGCAGCTGCTGCCTCAGCCCGGAGTGGACACTGTCCCGGCCTCTGCGCCAGCCAGGAGAGAGGTTGGCGTTGTGTTAGGTTATGCTATGGCTGCTGCTTTGCCTGCTGTGTCAGCCAGGAGAAAACAAATGTGTCTGCAGTTCCTACCTCTTCTCAAGGCTTCTTCCAGCCTTTTCCTTCATGCTTTGCCTGCCGTGGGCTCAGCAAACAGTATAGACAGTGTGAACCGCAAGACAGTTGGCACTGTGAGTAGCATTAGCAATACAGTTGCCATTCCAGTATCCAGGGGATCTTCCCAAACCAGGGATCGAACCCATGTCCCTTACATCTCTCACCCTGGCAGGCAGATTACCGTCTGAGCCGCCAGGGAAGAACAGAGTAAAGTACTCAATAAATGATGACTGTTAATTACTATTATTGTTCAGATAAATGTTTAATATTTTTGAAATGTTGAATTAGTTACCTGGGTTATGATTTGCCTTTATGATTTTGGTCCAAGATATAAAACATTGCCCAATGCATAAGCTTCTGCAACCTAGTTCTTTTTTGGATAGTTAGTAATAGCCATAATGTATCTTCATCATCAATATTTTCTATCATAGTTTTATTATCACAATTTATGTGATAAACTCATGACCTTTACTTTATGGTGGATTAATAATTTTCTTGCTGTTTAGCCACTAAGTTGTGCTGGACTCTTTTGTGATCCTATGGACTGTAGCCTACCAAGGTCTTCCATCCATGGGATTTCCCAGACAGTATTTTACTGGAGTGGGTTGCCATTTTCTTCTCCCGGGGATTGAACCTGGGATTCAGTCTTCTCCCTAATAAAAAGTTTTTCTTTGAACTTTAGTAAGTTGATTCTCTGATAAGAGAGCATGCACAGTATTTTCATGGTTCTCAAGATGTGAATAAATGACTCATTGGGAAAGACCCTGATGCTGGGAAAGATTGAAGGCAGGAGAAGAAGGGGATGACAGAGGATGAGATGGTTGGATGGCATCACTGACTGGATGGATATGACTTTGAGCAAGCTTCAGGAATTGGTGATGGACAGGGAAGTCTCGTGTGCTGCAGTCCATGGGGTCGCAAAGTTTCGGACATGACTCAGCCACTAGACTGAACTAAAGTGAACTGCTAATATTGTTCAGAACTAAAGGTTAAGATTCCCTCTTTAGAATTCCATGTCAGTAGAAGGGGAAGAAGGAAAGCCAAATACAAAATAAGAGATATGAGATTTGTATTTCTGATCATCTTTGAAAGCAGTACAGATGACCTTCCTTCACATTGCAAGGAAAAAGTACTAGATATGGAGTTTTGTTTATTGGTTTCCACTTCCCCTAAGATGGAAAAGCTTATTTTTTTAAGCAAAAATAATACAGTAGCTTAAAAACATGCAAGAGTCATAGGTCTCATTTTGACTCTCTAGATACTTTAAGAATTAAAAGAGAAGGAAACAAACAAAAAAAAATGACTGAAGTGTGTAATATATTATAAGAAAGTTCTTCCCAGAACATAGCTAAGAAACTATTCTATGTAGAGGACAGGTTGATTATGAACTGAATATGAACACATATTCTTATAACTGTGCCCTCCAGTTATAAGAATATGCATTGGTTGGCTTAGTTATGCACTAGGTTAAGAAGAATATTTGTGATAAACTAAAGGTAGAAATAACTTCTTTTGAATGGAAAAGGATATGGCTTTTAAGTGGGGAGAAAAGTGGAGGAAGTATTACAGCTGTTATGTGAATTTTCAGAAGCTGCTTTTCTAATAAATTTGTATGAACTCAGGGCTCATTTTCTGAATTCCCTGAGTGTTGAAGAGGGATGATTTGATCTTTAAAACCTTTTCTGAAGGGCTTTATCAAGCATTTGAATATTTATTGTGTTTTCAAGGAAATATATTAATAATAAGTTCTATACTGCAATAAGTAACCATGCAAAGCTTGATTTTAACCTCTCCCTTTTTTTTTTCTCAACAGTTTGGAAGAACTGAAGTAATTGATAATACTTTAAATCCTGATTTTGTAAGAAAATTTATTCTGGACTACTTTTTTGAAGAAAGAGAGAATCTTCGTTTTGATTTGTAAGTTCCAGCAAAACTTGTATTTGAAAAAAAACAAGATTTTTAAAGACTACATTCATAATATGATGCTGGGTGCTACGGTTGTACTAAATAGATATTAGCAGGAAATCAGATTAAATCTGTTTAGAGTGTGGCCTGAGCACTGTCCCCAGCACTGCTTTGCATATTATAGATTATTTGCTATTTATTAAAAATATATAAAGTAATTACTTTACCTTGTTGAAATGCTGGGTGGAGTATACGGGCATTCTTTCAAATCCTGCTGTGGAATAGGTGTCTTACAAATTCTGCATATACTCCAGGGGGATCCTCATATATTTCCATGGCTGACTTTCTCAGATCTTTAGATTTCTCTCCATTGTTTCTTTGTATAGTACAAAGTTGTTTCTTTGTATAGTTGTTTCTTTGTATGTGTGTGTACATTTGTGTGTGCATGCTCAGTCATGTCTTGACTATTTGCAGCCCCATGAACTGTAGCCTGCCAGGCTCCTCTCTCCATCAGATTTCCCAGTCAGTAATACTAGAGCAGGTTGACATTTCCTCCTCCAGGGGGTCTTCCCAACCTAGGGATTGAACCCGCATCTCCTACATCTCCTGCATTGGCAGGTGGATTCTTTACAACTGAGCCACCTGGGAAACCCCATATTACATGGATCTTTACCTAATTATGGCTCCCTTTATTTGTTCATGGGCTCATATTTCTAAGTTTAGGCTGCCAAAGCTAAAATTTTTAATATTCTTGTTATTTTGATACTGAATCAGGCATATTAAAATATAACCTTTAAATTCAACTCCCTACCACAGAGAATCTGGAGTCAGTCTATAACTGAGTTATTACACATTTGTTCCCCAGAGGTGAACTGTGGTGATTGTTGAAGGAAATCTATTGAAAGCAAAAATTATAACATGTATTATAGTATGTGCTTTCTATATAAAAATAACCAGAGACTTTATGAACATCACAAGTATTTAAAAGAAAAAGTATTTAAAGTATTATGAACATCACAAGTATTTAAAAAGAAAAATGTCTTAAGTAGCTGAAAACAATACAGTATACATGCTGTAACAGTTTATAGATATTTTTGATAGCAAAAGCTATTTTCCTCCTAATGAAAAACAAAAGTTCTTTGCTGTTAGTAGTCTTTCTCATTTTCCTCTAAAATGTGTACAATAAAATAACCTATAGTGTTTCTGTTTAAAAATGGAGAATCTTAAACCACTCCCTTTCCTCATGAGCTAAAGGAGTTCTAAGTATTTATTATTTTATCAAACAAAATTTATTATGCCCCATTTGGTTTTTATTTCCTTGAAACACTTTTCCAAATAATAAAAATGAGGTTCCTGAGAAAAAACTGAAAAGTAGAATATAATGATTCCCTGACCATGTTTATCATGGTGATTACATACAGTGTCACTATTTGAAAACAGACATATAAATCATACAGAATGTGGTTTCATTCTTCCATTGTTCAAGGCCTCCATAGGAATCGTTTTTAAGAAATTTCCCTCTTTCTCAGCATGGTACTCCCTTCATTTTTACCGGTTACTTTCAGATCTAACTTTATTATAAGTTAGTATTTCATGATTCTTTATTCTCATTCTTTATTTTCCTTTCTCTACTATTCTCTTTCTCAATTATCTGTATTGTTTTCTTGCATTTAAGAGAAATACATTCTTATTATAAATTTTAAATAATACAGGCATTTATAAAGTGAAAGTTCCCTGTTAACCCAGTACCAAAACACACATATACGCATAAACAACCAAAACTGTAAATGCATTTGCAGATCCCTTTTCTTTAAATATATACCTGTATATGGAATCTCAATATTTTGAATATCTCAATACTATCTAGTTACTTGTATTATTTAGATATATTTCTATGTCATTAAATATATAGATATCCTTTCATTAATTTTAATGGTTGCATAATTTTAATTATTCAAAGAAATGCAGTTTACTTATCCAGACATTTACAGATGAACATTTTGGCTGGTTCTATTTTCACTATTACATGTAATCCTGCAGTATTTTTTACAGAAACATTTTGCTGTTTTCTTTCCTTTTCAGAATATATATTACTCAGTCATATTTTAAGATGAAATGATATGGCCAAGACTGCTTCTAACCTTTGAGACTATCTTAAAGATCATATGTGCTTTGTTGGTTCTTTAAACTCCTCATCTAGATATTTGCTCTGATTTTTAGAATGATCCTTCTGTTTTCTTTTGGTTACTGTCTGTCATCAGGCCCCTGTCATCATCATGAGTAGCTGCGGCTAGGGGACTCTACTCACTCATTTTTCTACAGTGTCTCATTTTGCCCCTCCTTTTATTGGTTTCTTAAGTTTAAATCATTTGACATTCATAATTGTGGCTATATAGAATTGTACAAGTAGAATGAAAAGAAGGAAAATGGTCTCAAAAGGATGATAGCAATCAAATGCAAGTCAGTAACTAGAGAGCAAAATTTAAGAGCTGGGCAGGTCACTCTGGGAAGAAGTAGGTAAAGAATGATTTACCTGAAAACAGATGGTGATCACATGCTCATCTCTACTAAATGTGAGATGAAGGAAGCTAATGGATTTTAAGGAGTTTCCAGTAAGAAAATAAATTTCACTGAATTCAGTGTTGGTTGGTCACTTAAATATTATGTCTGTTTTGCTAAATATCATTTCAAGAGTTACTTTCACAAATCAATGACTCAAATGAGAATGTATTAGGTTTAGGAAGCACCATATACTTGTACCATGATTGTCAGGCCTACCTAGGTATCCTTAGCATGGACAGGGAAGTCTTAAAGGTAGGAAGGAAGTCAGGGCATTGGTAGAACTTAATATACATCTCTAGTATTTTGTCATAAATCAGTAATATTGTTTAACTCGACTGTACATGATTCAGGGAATTTTTAAAAAAAGAGAACAAAACTTCAACACACTCACTGATGGAAATATAGAAGAAAACAATGATTGGATGGATCAATATGTTTGTTACTAATATTTTCCAGTTATTTTTAAGCTAAAACAACTATAGAAACTCATGTAGTTTGAGGGTTAGTATGTAAGTTCTGTAAGTACCAGACAAAAAGATGTGGTGTGTGATAGTAATACTACTGATCTTATTTACAGTTTGTAGTAGAATCATTAATATATGTAAATAGATTTAACCAACCCAATATATTTCTGAGGCAGTTATCCGATTGCTATAAAAGAGAATACCAAGGCCTGGACGGGAGTTTAACTTGACATGCTCAAGGGTCTGAGCTCTCCGATATAGAGTCAAATTTTGCATAAAAATAGTTAATATTTTTTTATCTTCTTTGTAAATTGGCCGAACCAACCGTCTTTCTTATTAACTTTTGGCTGTCCTGGGTCTTTTTTGCTGCGTGAGGGTTTTAGCGAGTTGTGGTGAGTGAGGATACCCCTTGTTTCCTGCAGGGTCCTCTCGTTGCGGCGGCTTCTCTTCCTGTCATGCTCTAGGCATGTGAGCTTGGTAGCTGTGGGGCATGCAGGCCCGAGAGCACACACTCCGTAATTTTTGTGCACGGGCATAGTTGCTCCATGGCACGTGGGATCTTCTCCGATCAGGAGTCAAATTCATGTTCTCTGCATTGGCAGATGGATTCTTAACCATTGGACCACCAGCAAAGCCCATGCTTGAAATAGTTTATAATTTAATGGTACAAAACCTGAATTTCTCAAACTTTATGGAGAGTAAATAATGCCTGAACTATGTAATTTTAATTTTTCTCTTGGTTATCTAAAACTAATGAAAGTATTATGTTTGAAGTGCTCTACTTTACTCTGAATATAACAATTGAATATATTTAACTATGCAAAAGTAGGAATATGTAGGAAAGTAGTATGTTTGATTAGAATGGACACTATTGTATTGTTTTATGATAGTGTAACAAGAAGAAAGTACCAAAGCAGTGTACATGATATATTTTAACTTCTTCAATTTTTTGTTTTTTCCTAAAGAAATAGTATTTCTCATAGAAATTTTATAATGTTTGAAATGTGAGAGCATGTTGTAAAATGTAATTAAATAAGCATCAGTTAGAGGAGGAAATGGCAACCCACTCCAGTATACTTGCCAGGATAATCCCATGGACAGAGAAGCCTGGTGGGTTACAGTCTATGGAGTCACAAAAAGTTGTACACAACTGAGTGACTTGGCATGCAAGCATCATATAAACTTTTGAATGTAGTTGGTTAATTTCAGAAATTTAAGTCAAGTAATATTATTTGAATTTTATATGATCTCTAAAACATTCAGAAAATTAGGACCTGATTAAGGGATACCTGGAGAAGATTGTCAAGAAAAGTAACAAATATATTTTCTTAGTTTATGCACTATTTTTGATATCACTTTAAGTTGGAAGGAAAGTTATGACCAACCTAGACGGCATATTAAAAACCAAAGACATTACTTTACCAACATAGGTCCATCTAGTCAAGGCTATGGTTTTTCCAGTAGTCATGTTTGGATGTGAGAGTTGAACTATAAAGAAGGCTGAGCGCTGAAGAATTGATGCTTTTGAACTGTGGTGTTAGAGAAGATTCTTGAGAGTCCCTTGGACTTTAAGGAGATCCAACCAACCCATCCTAAAGAAGATCAGTCCTGGCTGTTCATTGGTAGGATTGATGTTGAAGCTGAAACTCCAATACTTTGGCCACCTGATGCGAAGAGCTGAATCATTTAAAAAAAAAAAAAAACCTGTTGCTGGGAAAGATTGAGGGGAGGAGGAGAAGGGGATGACAGAGAAGGAGATGGTTGGATGGCATCACCGGCTCAATGGATATGGGTTTGGGTGGACTCCAGGAGTTGGTGATAGACAGGGAGGCCTGGCTTGCTGCAGTCCATGGGTTCACAAACAGTTGGACATGACTGAGCTACTGAACTGAACTGAACTAACAATTTCTTCTAATTATCCATTTATATAAGTATCTCATACAACCTGTGAGAGCAGACTTTCTTTTTTTAACACTGATTTTTCTAGCGTATCTATCTAAATAAATGTGAAAAGTAGTGTAATCTTTCTCTAGTTATGAGTACCTATTTATCCATTGTTCCTAACTGATTAGTTTTTAAATTTTGTCTTAGCAGTGTGTTGCTTCTAGGAAAAAATATTCATTGCAGAAAATGTGGAAAATGAGAAAAGGATAAAGTAGTCAATAAAATTACCTGTAATCCCAACCGGGGACTTCCCTGATGGCTCAGTGGTAAAGAATCCACCAGCTAATGCAGGAGATGGAGGGTCGATCCCTGGGTTGGGAAGATGCCCTGGAGAAGGAAATGGCAACCTACTCCCAGTATTCATGGACAGAGGACTCTAGTAGGCTACAATCCATGGTGTCACAAAGAGTCGGACATAGCAACTAAACAGCAACAGCAACAACAATTTCAACCTATGTCACTCAGAGTATTAATGGAAGTACCCTAACATACTTACAGTAGCATGGTCTTTTGAAGGAACATTGTTGAATAATACAGTTGTCTAAATTGGCCAACATAGATGTAAGTGGTTTTCAGAATTGTTTTTTATTTAGTTAACCTTTATATTAATTTTACAAATTTCTATTTCTTTTATTGAAAAGAAGCTTTTCGATTGCATATTATGGAAGGTTTGAAAATGGCTTTCAGGAGGTTTTTTTAGTTAACTTTCAATGCTGATGGAAAATTGTTATCAGAGAGAGAGAAAAAATGAATGGATATATATATTTCTGGCAGCACTGCCCCAAATTCCTGTAAGTTATGATTAATCCAAAATTATTATTATGGTCATTTGGTTGAGATATTTTAAGGTTAGTTTGTCAGTTATGAGTTGTAAAATTCTCCTGCCTGTTTGATTTGATGTATCATTCAAGAGACATGGTTTCTATTATTATGCTATGTTTTATCACAGTGCTATGCTTTATCACAGATATAATCATAAACTTTAGCATTCATTAATTTTGTTATAATTGTTACACATATAATAGTATAGATACTTTATAATTCTCTTTGTTGTCATTGAAAACTTTATTATTGGTAGAACAGTTGTCACTGAGCGAGAAGTGTGGGTAGCTGTTTCAGTATGTAGTATTTTCTGAAGAATATGAGAAATCATATATAACTACTTATGCTCTAATTTTTCCATTTGGGTACACCAACAAGGGAGTTACAGGTCTAAATTTGACTTAGGTGAAAAGTGAAAGTGAAGTCGTGAAGTCGTGTCCTCCTCTTTGTGACCCCATGGACTGTAGCCTACCAGGCTCCTCCGTCCATGGGATTTTTCAGGCAAGAGTACTGGAGTGGGTTGCCATTTCCTTCTCCAGGAGATCTTCCCAGCACTTCCCAGCATTGTCAGCTAACATTCTCTTCCACTAGCAGCCAAGAATGGACTTATTGTTGTTGTTCAATTGCTAAGTCATGTCCAACTCTTTGCAACTCCATGACAGAGGACTAGATGCTATTCTCCCCTTCACACAATCATCCTAGATTTCGGAGCTCCCCTTCACCTTGCTTTTGGGAGTGGAAAGTACCTCCTTCTACCCCTTCAGAGATAGTGAATAGCCTGTCACTTCATGAGTAAGCTTTCTAGAGAAGGGTTTGACCCTAATGAGAGTGACTTACTGGCAGCTCTGAGCTAAGCATAAGGAAGAATTTAGTATCTCTTGTTTTCAGCTTTGGGCCTTAGTTGGAATATCAGGGGAATTAAGGGGATTATGGCATTCATAAACCTACACACACACACACACTCACAGTCTCCAGCCCCATGCACACAGATATATTTTTACTGTTTAGAATGTAGTGTTTATGTTCTGACTAATGAGAATTAAAGCCAGTGATACTTTAAGAAAGTTAGAAGGAAATCTCCCATAAAAGAAAAATCATGGTAATTTTGAAAGCATTATAATACATCATATTATTTAAAGCCTTGGGAGGTTTATCTAAAGCCTTGGGAGGTTTTTTATTATCCTATGCTTTAGGAGGTTTGCTGTAAATTACCTATTTTTGAGATAATAGCGTCAAAAAGCTTTGTTAAAGAAAATTAAGTAGGATTGTATTTGAAGATAACCTAAATTCCTTGTGATGAAAACACAACCACTTCATTTTTGCTTATTGAATTGAACTGAATATATCATGATCAGTTCTGTTCAGTTCAGTTGCTCAGATTGTCTCTTTTTCAGATTTCCTTTTCCCTTTAGGTTCCCCACAGAGCATTGAATAGAGCTCCCTGGGATACACAGTATGTTCTTGTTCAGTACAGTCGCTCAGTCGTGTCCGACTCTTTAAGACCCCATGGACTGCAGCATGCCAGGCCTCCCTGTCCATCACCAACTCTCGAGTTTATTCAAACTCATGTCCATTGAGTTGGTGATGCCATCCAACCATNTGTACTCTGCATAGAAGTTAAATAAGCACAGTGACAGTGTACAACCTACTCCTTTTCCTATTTGGAACCAGTCTATTCCATGTCCAGTTCCAACAGTTGCTTCCTGACCTGCATACACGTTTCTCAAGAGGCAGGTCAGGTGGTCTGGTATTCCCATCTCTTTCAGAATTTTCCACAGTTTGCGGTGATCCACACAGTCAAAGGGTTTGGCATAGTCAATATAACAGAAATAGATGTTTTTATGGAACTCTCTTACTTTTTCAATGATCCAGTGGATGTAGGCAATTTGATCTCTGGTTCCTCTGCCTTTTCTAAAACCAGCTTGAACATCTGAAAGTTCACAGTTCATGTATTGTTGAAGCTGTTTGGAGAATATACCCTGTTATCTCTCCCCAGCCCACACTACACCCTTTATAGAAAAGAGTTTCCAGGAATGACACTTGAGGAGTCAGGAGAGTTATACTTTGGCTATGATATTTCTACAGTTGCTAATTTTAATCTTACCCTCAAAAATTGTCTTGAATATGAAATTTTTTTTTTACTAATATTTGTGGCCTTTAGTAGATGTTGGCAATTTGCTGATTCAGAACTCTAGTTTACAGCTGTTGAGAGTGATCAAACTGCCCTGATAGGAAGGAAAGTAATTTGTAACTCTTCTGAGATGGTCATTTGCATCACACAAATTTAAAGCCAGTTTGTGGCAAACATTCTTTACTAGGCAGTAGGTGTACCTATGCCAAGAATCAGTATACACAGTGAACTCTGTTTCTATGCTTTTTTTTAACTGAAATACTTTTCTTTCTCTGGGAAAACATCCTTGTTATGTGAGAGGGAAGATTTTAATGAGCCATTAGAAAAAAAAGTTATTTTTTCATAGGTAGCTATGCACAGGAATGTGAAAAGAATATGATCTGGGAGAAAGACTGGAGCCAGTACCAATATTTTACTCTTCAAGAATTCAGCAAATTGAGGTTGTTTTAAATGTTAGCAACCAGTCTGCTTTTGAAAAAAAAAAAATTAAAACAAGGGATTAAGTGATAGTGAGTGATATTTTCCCAGGATTTCTTCAAAAAATCATTTGCTTCCAGTACCAACTGATCAAAAATAGGAATATAGTAGTCCTATATAAACACATTTTCTTTCTATAAAATACATATTTTCCCTAAATTCTATGATTGGAGAAAATTACTCTCTCATTACTTTTGCCAATTTCAAAGTTAATAAGAGTATTTATGATATTAAATAAGAATTATATATACAAATGACAGCCTGTTATCAGCACTTTTTAAAAAGAGATATTTCAGCTTTTAGGGAGGATTATGAATCTATTGATTCACAGAAAAGGGAAATTTTAAAGTTTTCATATCAAGAAGAAGAGCTGATGACTGTGAAATTATTAAAATTAAGACTTATACTTAGGTGGTAGAAATAAAAGGACCCAGGGTTTATGAATCCTGCCTTTAGTATGTAGTATGTAGGAGTTTATGAGAAATTTCTAAATTTGCTGAGTTTTTCTCCCTGTCATATACTTTTGATTCATTTTTAATATCATTTGTATTTTGGGGGAAATACTAATGTTTTTCTCTAGCTTCACGTGTGGAAATAATTTAAAGTGTATATTTTAATTTTTTAGGTATGATGTTGATTCAAAGAGTCCCAACTTGTCCGAACATGTAAGTTCACATCTTTATGTTTTTTAAGATGGTTAAAAATTAAATTATCGTATCATGATTTCACTGGTATTTTAATTAATTGATTCATATTAAAGTTGTATGTCCACAACTTACCTAATAATTACATTGAAAATAAATAACATTTTATTTACATTTAATTTTTTAAATTGGAGTGTAGTTACTTTGCAGTATTGTGATGGTTTTTGCCATACATCAACATGAATCAGCATTAAGTATGCATATATTCCCTCCTAATTCAACACCCCCTCCCACTTCTCTCCCCATTCCGTCCCTAAGGTCACAGAGCACTGGCTTTGGGTTCCCTCTCCCATACAATGAACTCTCATTGGCTATCTATTTTACATATGGTAATATATATATTTCACTGCTATTCTCATATATCATGCCACCCTTTCCGTCCCTCACTGTGTCCAAAATGTCTGTGTCTCCTTTGTGCTCAGCAGTAAGATTTTCAGTAGTTTTTCTAGATTCCTCATACATGTGTTAATATATGATATTTGTCCTTCTTTTTCTAACTTACTTTTCTCTGTATAATAGCCTCTAGGTTCATTCACCTCATTAGAACTGACTTAAATGCATTCTTTTTATAGCTGTAAATATTGGAGTAATATTCCATTGTGTATATACCATAACTTCATTATCCATTCATCTGTCTATTGCACATCTAGCTTGCTTCCAAGTTCTAGTTATTGTAAATAGTGCTGCAATGAATATTGGGGTGCATGTGTCTTTTTCATTTATGGTCTCCTCCAGATATATGCTGAGGAGTGAGATTGCTGGGTCATATGGTAGTTTTATTCCTAGTTTTTTTTTTATGAAATATCTATGATATTCTACATAGTGCCCATATCAGTGTTTATTCCCACCAATGGCATAAGAGGATTCCCTTTTCTCCACAACCTCTCCAGCATTTATTATTTGTAGACTTTTTGATGATGGCCATTGTGACCCATGTGAGATGTTTCCTCATTATAGGTTTGATTTGTATTTTTCTAATAATAAGCAATATTTAGCATCTTTTCATGTGTTTATTAGCCATCTGCATGTCTCCTTTGGAGAAATGTCTGTTTATGTCTTCTGTCCACTTTTTGATTAGGTTGTTTGTTTTTCTGATATTGAGCTGCTGAACTGCTTTGTCATTTATTTTGTTTGTTATTTTCTCCCACTCAAGGGTTGTCTTTTCACTTTATGTATAGTTTAATTTGTTGTGCAAAAGCTCTTAGATTTAATTAGGTCCCATTTGTTTGTTTTTGTATTTATTTCCATTACTCTAAGAGGTGGATTATAGAAGGTCTTGTTGTGATTTATATCAGAGAGTGTTCTGCCTGTTTTCCTCTAAGTGTTTTATATTTTCTTGTCTTCTATTTGCGTCTTTAATGCATTTTGACTATATTTTTGTGTATGGTCTTAGGAGGTGTTCTAGTTTCATTCTTTTACAAGTAGTTGACTAGTTTTCCCAGCACCGCTTGCTGAAGAGAGCATGTTTTCTCCATTATACAGTTTTTCCCTCCTTTTTTAAAGATAAAGTATGCATAAGTGCATGGGTTTATCTCTGGGCTTTATCTTGCTCTATTGGTCTATATTTCTATTTTTGTGCCAGTTCTATACTGTCTTGAGGACTGTAGCTTTGTAGTATAGTCTTAAGTCAGGAAGGTTGATTCCTCCAGTTTCATCCTTCTTTCTCAAGATTACTTTGGCTCTTCAGTATCTTTTGTGCTTTCATACAAATTGTGAAGTTATTTGTTCTAGTTTTGCAAAAAATACCTTTGGTAGTTTGATAGGGATTGCATTGAATCTGCAGGTTGCTTTTGGAAGTATAGTTGTTTCCGCTATGTTGATTCTGCCAGTCTAAGAACATCTCCATCTGTTTGTGACATTTCTGATTTCTTCCATCAGCAGCTTACAGTTTTTTGCATTCAGGTGTTTTGTCTGTTTAAATAAATTTATACCTAAGTATTTTATCTTTTTGTTGCTGTGGTGAATAGGCTGGTTTTCTTAATTTCTCTTTCTGATTTTTCATTGTTAGTGTGTAGGAATACAGAAGGATTTCTGTATATTAATATTATATACTACAACTTTACTATATTCATTGATTAACTCTAGTTTTTTTCTAGTGAAATCTTTAGGATTTCCTTTGTAGACATTCATATTTTCTGCAGAGTTTTACTTTTTCTTTTTCAATCTTGATTCATTTTATTTCTTTTTCTTCTATGATTGTTATGGCTTGGACTTCCAAAACTATTTTGAATAATAGTGGCAAGAGTGGGCACCCTTGTCTTATTACTGATTTTAGAGGAAATGTTTTTGGTTTTTCACCATTGAGTATAATGTTTTCTGTGGGTTTGTTGTGTATGGCCTTTACTATGTTGAGGTATGTTTCTTCTTTGCCTACTTTCTGAATTGTTTTTATCATAAATGATACTGAATTTTGTCAAAGTTTTTCTCTGCATTTATTGAGATGATCATATGGTTTTATCTTTGAATCTGTTAGTAAGGTGTATCACATTGATTGATTTGTGGATATTGAAGAATCCTTGTATCCCTGGTATAATGTCCACTTGATCATGATGTATGATCTTTTTAATGCATTGTTGGATTCTGTTTGCTAGAATTTTGTTGAGTATTTTTGCATCTATGTTCATCAGTGATATTAGCCTGTAATTTTCTTATTTTGTGGCATCTTTGTCTGGTTTTGGTATTATTATGATACCAGTGTATGGAGTGAGTTCATGAGTTTTCCCTCGTCTGTGATTTCCTGGAAGAGTTTGACTAGGATAGGTGTTAACTCTTCTCTGAGCTTTTGGTAGGATTTGCCTATGTAGTCATCTGCATGTGTGCCAAGTTGCTTCAGTCGTGTCCAACTCTTTGCAACCACATGGACCCTGAAGACTGCCAGGCTCCTCTGCCCATCGGATTCTCTAGGCTAGAATACTTGAGTGGGTCACCATGCTGTCCTCCAGGGGATCTTCCTGACCCAGGGATCAAACCCGTGTCTTTTATATCTTTACATTGGCAGGCAGATTCTTGAACACTAGTGCCACCTGGGAAGCCCATGTAGCCATCTAGCCCTGGGCTTTGTTTGTTGGAAGTTTTTTTTTATTATAGTTTTTATTTCTGTGCTTGTGATTGGTCTGTTCATATTTTCTATTTCTTCCTGGTTCAATTTTGAAAGATTATACATTTCTAAGAATTTGTCGATTTCTTCCAGGTTGTCCAATTTTATTGGCGTATAGTTGCTCATGGTAGTCTCATGAGCCATTGTATTTCTGTGTTGCCTGTTGTAACTTCTTTTTCGTTTGTAATTTTATTGGTTTGTGTCTCTTCTTCCTTTTTTTCTTGATGAGTCTAGCTAACCGTTTTATAATTTTGTTTATCTTTTTGAAGAACCAACTTTTAGTTTTATTGATCTTTGCTATAGTCTTCTTCATTTCTTTTGCATTTATTTTGCTGTGATCTTTATGATTTCTTTCCTTCTACTAACTTCTGGTTTTTGTTGTTTTTGTGTTTGTTTTGTTGTTGTTCATCTTCTTCTAGTTGCTTTAGGTTTAGTGTTACATATATTTGATGTCTCTTGCTTCTTGATGTAGAGTTGTATTGCTATAAACTTCCCTCTTAGCACTACTTTTCCTGCGTCCCATAGATTTTAAGTTGTCATGTCTTTGTTGTCATTTGTTTTTAGCCATATTTTGATTTCCTTTTTGATTCTTCAATGATCTGTTGGTTCTTTGTAAGTGCGTTGTTTAGCCTCCATGTGCTTGTGTTTTTCATAGGTTTTTTTTTTCTATAGTTGCTATCTAATCTTACAAAGCTGTGATCAGAAAAGATGCTTGAAATTATTTCAATTTTTAGAAATTTACCGAGGCCTGATTTGTGGCCCAGGATGTGTCCTATCCTAGAGAATATTCCATGTGCATCTGAGAGAAAAGTGAAATCTATTTTGGGGGGTTGAAATGCCAATAGATATCAATTAGGTCCAACTTGTCCTATGTATCATTTATAGCTTGTGTCTCTTTACTAATTTTCTGTCTGGATGATTTGTCCATTGATGTGACTGTGGTATTAAAGTCTCCCACTATTATTGTGTCACTGTCAATTTCCTCTTTAATAGTTGTTATCATATGCCTTACATATTGAGCTGCTCCTATGTTGGGTGCATGTATACTTATAATTTTTATGTCTTCTTGGAATGATCCCTTGATCATTATATAGTGTCCTTGTCTCTGTAACAATCTTTGTTTTAAAGTCTATTTTATCTAATATGAATATTGCTACTCCTGCTTTCTTTTGATCTCTGCTTGCATGGAGTATCTTTCCAGCTTCTCACTTTCAGGCTATGTGTGTCCTTAGGTTTGAGGTGTTTCTCTTGAAGACAGCATATATAGGGATCTCCCTTTTGTACCATTCAGCCAATCTATGTCTTTGGGTTGGAGCATCTAGGCCATTTACATTTAAGGTAATCATTGATAAGTATGATCCTGTGATCATGCTTATTGTTATCAGTTTGTTTTTATAGGCCTTTTCTGTCTTTCTCGTCTAGAGACACTCCTTTAGCATTTGTTAAAGAGCTGGTATGGTGGTGTTGAGTTTTCTTAGATTTTGATTGTCTGTAAAACTTTTGATTTCTCTTCCAAATCTGAATGAGATCCTTACTCAATAGAGTAATCTTGGTTGTACTGTTTTTTCTTTCATCGCTTTAAATATATCCTGCCATTCCCTTCCTGCCTGCAGAATTTTTGTTGAAAGATCACCTGTTAGCATTACGGAAATCCCCTTGTATGTCATTTGTTGTTTTCCCTTGTTACTTTTAAATATTTGTTCTTTGTGTTTAATTTTTGTTAGTTCAATTAATATGTTTTTTGGCATATTTCTTGGGATTATCATGGATGGGACACTCTGGGCTTCCTGGACTTGAGTGGCTATTTCCCTCCCATTTTAGGGAAGTTTTCTACTATAATCCCCTCACATATTTTCTCATGCCC